TACATTCTACATTCATAAAGGGCTACAGAAATAACACAAAACCCATAAGGAAATCATAACTAAGTTGGAATTATTTCTGGAATACCAGAGTAACTTAGTATTAGAAAATCCATGAAAGAATTCATCACATTAATAAAGGCAAAAGGAGAAAAACCATATGGTCATTGCAATGAGCGCAGAAAAGGCATTTGGCGAAATTTAACACACATTTTTATTTAAAAATAAACAAAAACTCTTAGGAAACTAGAAATAAAAGAGAACCTCCTTACCCTAAAAAAGTTTATACACCAAGGACTGACAAACATTGAATGTATAGTATGATAATATATATACATATAACATTTAAAAACATGTAAACTATATATACCATTTAAATAACAAACATACATATCTAATAAAAGTGTCACAATTTGCAAAAGAATAATAAACACCAAATTCAAAGGAAGGAAGAGTGAGGGGACTAGAATCAGAGGCTTCAATTGTATTTAAAACATTTTATTTAAAAAAAAATAGAAAGCTCTAAAGCACTCATGATAAAATATTAAGATTTCGTGGTTACATAGATAAGTATTCATTATTTTATTCTGTATATTTTTCCCCACATAAGAGCTACCACAGGTCAGAACCCCGGGTGTCAAGCGGTGGACTGGGAGAAACAAAGAAGCTGCCTCTTGCAGCCGGGAGCGGCAAGTTCCCTGAACAGCCCTGCCTGAGAGAGCTGTGAGCTCCACGCGGCCGGTGGCAGTGCCCAATCATCAGGGCAGAAGGCAGAGAAACAGGGACGGCAGAGAAACGGGGACGGCAGAGGAACAACAGTTGATTTTTATTGGCTACGGTTGCAAAACTGAGGCTGAGCCACAGCCTACAACTTCCAAACCAGAGGGCCCCTCCTCCCATACCCTCGGAGACAGAACGCCACGGAGCCCCAAGGGAATCTGAGCAAATGCTACCGAAACTGTCAGTAACACTGACAGGAACTGGGATTGAGTGTAGTGAGCATGATTAAACATCTATAAGGAAAAAAAGACATTATTAACACTTTACATAAAACAGAGATCCAAGAAGCTTAGACGCCACCTACTGGAAATGAAAAGAAAAACACCTTATTTGCAACAGGCCAGAGACCATTACATAATAAATCTTTCTGGAAAAAATAAATTTAACAGGCTTTTTTTGTCAGCAAGTCGGCTGACAACAAAAAACTGAATAATGAGACAGTGGAAATTCAGATTGGCTTTAAAAAACACCAGGCACTTGACTGAAGCCTTATTTCTAATCCCTGCACTGAAGTTGCAAAGTTGTAATTCTCATTTTTAAAAATTGGAAACAAAGGCTCAACAACTTGCCTAAGATCATAAAAGCATTGTACTTTCAATTGTACCACACTTCCTCTAGGCAGTCTTTAGCTAATCCTATTGTCAGCAGTCACTTCAGATATAATGACCCATCTGTGAGAAGAGAGCAGCCAGCCATCTTTGCACTTATTCTTCAACCATCTAGAAATATAGTATCACATTTCCAAATATGCTCTCCTTCCTTACCTATCCATCTGAATTTTCTTCATTGTCTCCGGAGTCATTATAGTCTGCATTGTAGGTTTTTTGAAGATATGATCTTGCATTTTATTAAACTCATTGGCAAATTGGCCTTCTTGTCTGATTTCTGGCAGTTTGGAGTCTTCTCTGGGTAACAACGTACTAGATATTTTCAAGGATCTTGAGACCTCTGTCAGTCTGTCCAAGCTTTTTTCTTCTAAATTTATTGCTTTTGTTTTCTTCTAAAAACAATAAATGTTTTATGTTAAGACAGATTTTAAAAGAGTAAAGAAATAATGCTATACGAGGGCCTCTGCATACATTGTTCAATCTCACATTCTCTCATTCTATACAAGATTACTCTTTTCTTCAGCCACACCAAGCAACATGTCCTGCTGTCTTGTATCTTCCTGCCTTTAGGTAACTTTCCTTCTGTCATTCCCCAACTTACCACCAGGTAAACTTTATGGCTATGACCAAAAGTAAAAGTTCTTTGTGAAAATACCTCCTTTAGCAGATACTGTACTGTAATTATTTGTATAAATATCTCCATTAAAGAGCTTGGTTTACCTCAAATTCTTTTTGGGACAAGATTGGATATTAAATAAATGTGGCCATCTTTATAATTCCATTACCTAGCACAATGCCTAGAGCATAATAGCTATTCAAAGGTTCATTGAACACATGAGTTTGACATATAAAGAATGAAAGGAGAATAATACCAGAGAGCAGAAGTTGATAGCATATGTAGTGGTGTGGTATAGATTTCAAAGGTCACGTGGGGAAAAGTCAAAATAATTTATTTTTCAGACACAAAATTGAATACTAAGGGGTAAGCATTACCATAGGAATGGCATATTTTTTAATTGATGATTTCCATTTAATCTGTGGATGAAATCTTGAGCTATTGAAAAGCCATATCACATAGTATATGTGATGTATATGCGCACTGAAACAAGACTTCCTTGTTTGAATCCCAGCTTTATCTCTTACTAAACTGTACTGACTTAAGGCAACTATTTAACATCCTTATGCCTCCATTTTCCCATTGGTAAAATAGGTATATTAATAGTACCTGTCCTCATAGAGTTATTATGAAGATAAAATAAATTAGCATACATAAAGCATTTAGAATAGTACACAAAATTATATGTAAATTCTGCATATGTAAAATCATTTGTCATGATTACTTAAATTCTTGGGCTGATCCTATGCAAAGAAGAAAAGGTTTATCTCCGTATTAATACATAAAGCCTAGACCTTCCTTAGCGAAACTTCAATTAGTCCAGAAATGTTAAAATACTATCCTTGAAAAGTTAATAAACACAGACGCAACAGCATTTTCTTTATATAACAATAAGCAAAGATTCAGATCTGAGAAAAATATTTGTAGGCAAGTATGAAACAAAATGCTGCTGACTTAAATAAGAATTAAATTTTAAAATATTCCTTTAAATTAAAACTGATATAATTGACTATTTATCTGGGCATAAGGAAAACTTTAAATATATAGATGGTTATTATTTTAGATTTTTTCTAGGAAAGAAAGGGGAAAATGTAAGGCCTAGGAAGCTAAGTTTTTTTGAGTACCCTAACCATTTTTCCTCTACATTTATGCTTAAGCATCTGGAAAAGAAAGCAAATGTGTCAAACTGATTTACTGATTACTAGAAATAAATATGAATTTTAAATAGAGAATGTAAAGGAACTAGCTAAATGTTCTAGTCCAGCCACTAAAAAAAGACTTTTATATAGTATGCACTATGTGCAAGATAGGGAGGGTATTAGACCCTAAGGGCAAAGATAAGAAAGACAGAATTCCCTGCAAGGGTGCTCTTTCCAAACTTTGGTCCAATTACTCCCAATTCTGATAGAGCCTAGTGCATTAGTATAGTTTCATCATTCCGTTCCATGATTCTAATAAAAATCTATTTGAAGATGTCTTTAGCTATAAAAATGGTTGTAAAAACGGGATAATGCTAACTTTTCATCCCAAGGTTGTTATAAGGCTAAGTAATGTGAAGCCTTTGGAGAGAAAAACAATCCACATATATACTAAGGTTTTTAAATGTATATCCTATGCCCTATAGAGCAATGGCATTGTAAAATTCATGAGTTAGAACAATTATAGTACTATAAAGTAAAAAACAAAAAATTATTTTAAGATATTCACAATTTTTAAAAATTATGGAATTAACATATTGAGAAAGGGGATTTTAAGTTGCTGTTAGTCAAGATAAGAGTGCAAACCTTTATTATTTATATTTTTATAAAGTCATAAGCAGAACCTCTTTTAAGTCAGAAAATTTTGTGGGTGAAGATCACTATCATTAACCAGAATAAAAAAGCTCAAGTTTTTTATTGGAATAGTAACTACTGCTGAATGCTATTTATAAATTTGGGTTTTTCATTCTTTCTTGAGTTTCTATGATGGCAAATTACCCTTTTTTCAGCCTGATAGTAAGTATAATTGATAAATATGATAATAAGATTTCACCTTGTTAACTGAATATCTTTTTATTTTTGATTCAACTGAAGGAGACAATAGGAAAGAAACACTAGTCTCTTCCGTACTATTGTTAACTGGCTTAATTTATGAATTAAACTCTTATTTTAAATCCATTGAAAGGTTTAGTTTTTGGATTTCCAATCTCTTTGCCTTTCATAAATTTATAAGGAAATTAACTTGTTATGAAATTCCTATAATATTCATTAAGGTCATTTAAAAACTACCCCAAAACTCATAAACGTTAGCATTAGAAGGGACCACATGGATCATTTAGTTAAAACTCCATCACACTTTGCAAATGAGAAAATTGCTCAGCACACAACTAATCCACTAAGGTCTCCTGAATTCAAATCCATTATTCTAGTAAAATCTTGTATAAACTTTTAACTTTAATAAAAGCTTTACAAATCTAGATTATACATATAATAATTAATGATGTTTTTAATTGTAAGGGGCAATTAAAGGGAATTTTAATTATCTAGTCATAATAAATATGAACTTTCCTGCTAAACATAGAAAGCAATTTATCCTCATTTATGTAGCAATTTTCATTGTCGTAAAATCAGAAATAATATATTCTGTACGAAGTATATAATTTACCTAAACTTAAATGTCTTTATACTAAAAATTTTTATTTTATACCTATGACCTAGTTATTAAGAGCTTAAAAATTTATAAAGCTTTTGCTCCCTACCAAGTTGAGTTGATAACTCAGTAAGTGCTTTGCGGAGGAGTCCATAACATCACTGAAAACGTAATAGCTGACACAATGATGTGACTGGAAATTCAGAAAGGCAGATTGAAACAGTAATGACGACGAAGTCATTTTAGATTAAAGCAATGTTGAGAAGGTCCATTTGAATTTCTTCTACCTTATGTTCAGCTAGCTTTTAGCAGCTGAGAGATATTAGATGAGACAACTCAGTAATTTGTCTGATTTATACTGATTTAACTATAGCATACTGGAAGAAAAAGACATTTTGACTGGTAATCCACCTTGAGCTATGGCTATATCACTTCATCAATTGAGAGTCTATATCTTAGGTAATTATTATGGATCTTTGTCTGAGATTAAGATGCTATTTCCCATGGTAAATTTTAATGGCATAGGTACTGTAAATGATGGAGAAATAAAAAGAAAAAAAGTTAAGTAATGGCGAGTCTATATACCATGCTGTTGCTTCGTTTTATTTCATACTGAACTGGCATGATATAGTTTAGAATAGAGAGCTGGTCTATGGTATCCTCCAGAACTGCGGAGATCCTCAGCACATCTAGAATGGAAAGTGATGCTATGATTTCCGGGGTGATTTCTATGTCTGTTTTTCCAGCTGTTTCTTCTTCTTCCACAAGATTAGGTGGTTTGCCTGTCACTAATACTGTCACTTCTGAATGCCAAGCTTTCGGAGGATCTGAGGCTTCCAGTTGGCCTCTAAAGAGAAAATAAAGAAAAAATGTCAGCCACCAAATGTTTAAAAATTACTTAAACTCAAAAGCACAGGCAGCATGTAGATTTGCTCCTATGAAGTTCACATTGTCATGTAACACAATCAAGATAAAGAACGAAAGTAGAAGCTTGCAAATGGTTCTGCTAAATACCTCCCAGTGACATTTTGACCAACCAAAGGCAATCAACTTACTGTTTAATAAAGGTATATAACCCATACAATTTTGCTATACTTAACCAATTTGAATTTGAGCAAAATTAACTTTTCTAGTAACATCTTTAGATGCTAACCAAAAGTGTCTCACGATAAGTGAAAAATAGAATGGGGTAGCCAGTCTTCAAGGTGACCCGTATGATTCTCACCTTCATGCCCTATTATAGTCTCCCCTACATTGAACAGGACTGACTCATCCGTGTAACTAAAAGGATATTGTTGGTTCAAGGCTAGGTAATAAATGGCATTGCAGGTTCTCCCTTACTCTCTCATGTCTCTCACTCCATGGGAAGCCAGCTGCCTTGTCATGAGGCCAGCTCTGGTCAAATTCAACCTTATGAGAGACCCCAAGCCATGACCATACAGAAACTGTGTAAAATAATAAATGTTTATATTTTAAGTTGCTAAGTTTTGGGATAATTTATTACACAGAAATAGATAAATAATACACAGAAATTTAATAAAAGGGGTAGTTTAAATACACATACTCTTCCATTCTTCTTGAGGTACTATTGTTAACTTCCATGGTACATTTATAATCTCACAAAAATGCAGTCACCTAAAATGGGAAGAAAACTTTGAGATTAGCTTAAGGGAGTGTTGAATGACATCGAAATTATTTCTATGTCTTTTCAATCAAAGAAAATTAAAGAATTACAAGAACTGTAACTTACCCCTTCTTTTTGCTTATTAGAGAAGTCCTAGAGCTGGAAGCATCATCATGTGGTGCGGGTCTATAATGTCACCAGCTTAGTTACTGGCAGAAAAATGCCATGTATGGGTCTTTTCTTAAGGTAAATTAATATCTAACATTGTTTTCATATTTTTATTGCACTCTGATTTTTAATTGGTAATCTCTATATAATGGATTTACCTTTCTGTTATTCTTAGTAAAATATTTAATTAGATCACTCCATTTCCCTAATCTGTCAGATAATAGAATTTATTCTACCTGTACTTAGAACACTTGATATTACACTTAGAAAAATTGCATTTATCCAGAAAATCAATTTAATGCTGCTGTCAAGATGTTCTCTCTCCTCAGTAAACCCAAGTCCTTTCTGCTTAAAAGAGCTTTAAATTCTCTATGGAGAATTTTGCTGTATACTGATTGAATAGTGAATGGTAAGTTTCCAGTGTGATTTTGTTCACCATACAGTGATCCTGAGAAGGGTGATACAAATATGTCTCACAACAATAATCTCATATGCAAAAATTCAAACATATAAAACAGAATCTTTATGTAAACTGAAAAAAAAAACATACTTCAAACTAGCCAAATTTTCTGGTACAAGGTCAGTCTTAGGAGGAAGTGGCATGGTGTTAAGAAGATTTTGTTCTTTTGTTGTGTTGTTTATTTTTTCATCTTTTGGCTTAGGGCATAGGTCAATGTGCTTCACATAGGGAAGAAAGGGCTATGCTTATGTAGTGTCCAGCGCTTTTGTACTGTTCTCATTTCTCATTCCTCAATGCTAGAAACCTGCTTCCTTCTTCATTTCTACATCAGCATTCCCCAATATAAACCATCACCAAGTCCTGTGGGTTTTACCTTATATTTCTATAACCCCTTAACATCATGCTGGACCTAGCTGTTGCTTCTTGCTTGAAATACTCTAATGGCCTCCGAAATAAAAGTGATCATTTTTAAATGAAAGACTGATCTTTTAAAATGGAAAATCTGATCACGTCTCTCCTTAGAACCTTTCGATGGTTTCCTATTGCCTTAGGATTCTTAACTTTGCCCATAAGACATGCATGATCTGGTCCCCTCTGTTCCTCTCCAGATCCCTCTGGCACTGCCTTTTTCTTGCTCTCATGGCTTCTTCTAGTTCTTCAATATAAAAGAAAACAAAATGGAGTTGGTTGACAAGAGAGCAATCTAAAAGGGAGCTGGGAGGCCTCTGGGAAGCTGAGCTAATTTATGTGAAAATGAAGTTTTGAGCTAGGCTAAAGCAAACAGCTCCATCCTGATACAGTTCCTGGAACTAGCTCGGCATCACTGAACCTCTCTGAAAAGAAAATAAAAATTTCACCTGGCAAAAGACATAAGCAATTAATCATGTATAGTATAGTGTAAGTCTGCTTGCTAGCACCAATCAAGGCTCTTTCAGAGCAACTTATGTAATCAATCCCCTTTGAAGCTCCCTTTTTCTGTCTTTACAAACACTGTCCCCTTCTCTCCCCTTCAAAACACAGTTGGGGTTTCTACCCAAATCTGTCTCTTGGACTGCAATTCCTAAAAAAGACCTCCAAATAGTTTTTGTTTGCCTTGCGGTTCTTGGTCAAAATTGACATATGGAATCATGCTCCCTTCCAATTTAGGGTCTTTGCATATGCTATTCCTTCAATTTGAACTCTTCCCCTCACTTCCTTACCTTGTAAAGTCCTACTGATCCATCAGGTTGCAGCTTAAATCAGTGGCATTTTGCTAGGTATCTGCCATTTGCCTCTAGATCCAATCTCCACCAATTTCTTTGCCCTGAGAGACTGATCCATATGGAGTGCATTAATAGGAGATTCCAAAAGAGAGCTAAAATGTAGGATTGTGAGGTTAGGTATTTATTCCCCCAGCTCCCTCCCTGCCATATCACCACTGATTGGCTATGTTTCTCTCTTAAAGGTCATGAGTCCTGTCAGGCAATTCTCTCCATAGTGCTCTTTCTTAGGGGCTCAGGTACCTTTTTCCCCATGTTACTGGAGACTGCATATAGTTTCACTCTTGCCTATACCTTTGTAAGCAGACTCCTTATTAAATTCTCAGCTCTGCCAACTGTATCTTTCCAGGGAAAAACTGACTGAAACAATTACCTACTATGACATGCATATATTTTTATATATAGTATGTATGTGTGTGTGTGTGTATGCAAATAACTAATATACAATATATAATATGTATATGCAAATAACTAAAACAAAGTTTTCATAAAATAGCTCTTCCCGTAAGCAGTCTGAGGTGACCTCTGAAAATGGTTCACTATTCACTTGACCCAGAAACCCCACAAAATCATGCAAATCAAGAGGTTCAAATCTTCGTGTTCACTTTAAGAACACTTATGAAATTGCCCAGGCCTTCAAGGGTATGCATATCTGAAAAGCCACCAAGTGTTTGAAGGCTGTCACTTTACAGAAGCAATGTGTGCCATTCTGTCAATACAATGGTAGAGTTGGTAGGTGTGCCCAGGCCAAACAGAGGGGCTGGATGTAGTGTTGGTGGCACAAAAAGAGTGAATTTTTGCTGCACATGCAAAAATGCAGAGAATAAAGCTAAACTTAAAGGTTTAAATGTAGATTCTCTGGTCATTGAGCCTATTCAGGTGAATGAAGCTCCCAAGATGTGGCACAGACCTTACAGAACTTATGGGCTCTCCCTGTCAAATTGAGATGATCCTCATTAAAAAAGAGCAGATTATTCCTAAACCAGAAGAGGAGATTGCACAGAAGAAAAAGATATTCCAGAAGAAATTGATGAAACAAAAACTTATAGCCTAGGACTAAATATAAATAAAATAAATGCTAATAAAAGTTAAAAAGTTTTATTTAACAATTTACCTGTAACACACGTGATACACTCTGATATTTTCGATTCTATCATATTTTGCTTTAAAAAGTATTATAATCATGATCTACTAATGGGTCATCACCTGCAGTTAGAAAAATGCTTTAAATGACATTTCTGCAAGTGACACTTACTCTGACTCATCAGGCTGGATCAGGATTCTTCTGTTCAAGCGGTCATTGCACAATTACTTTCCTATAGAGCTCTCTTCACAATTTGTAATGTTTATGTAAGTTTCCCCCACTAGGCAAGTTCCTTGAGATCAGGAACCATGACAATGATGCTCACTACTGTATCCTAAGTTTCAGACACCATGCTCAATAAGTATTTGTAGAATGAATGAACAAAGAAATAAAACTCACAATGGGTTATTCCTCCCAGGAGTAGTTACATTTGGATTTCTAGTACATTTAATAGTGGGATAGCTGGTACATTTTCTAATAGTGACATTTCTAGTATATTTGTGGAACAAAGAAATTTGGATGGGGAGAGTAGGCTATAAACGTATATAAACTATCATGGTGTATTTATGAGATGATCTGATTTTAAATATGATTTATATACATCTATTTCCTAAAACTTTGGAGTCATCCTTTTCTTTCTCATTCTTTATCCATCAGCAAATCCTGTCAGCGTTACACTTAAAATATATTCAGAATTCCAGTACTCATTATCTCTGTTTACATGCCATAATAGCTCATCAGAATCATTACAATGATCTCCCTATTGGTCCCCTTGTTTCCCTTCAGTCTCAACACTGTGACCCTGTCAAAACGGAAGTCAGATTGAGTAACTCCTATGTATACAACTCTCAAATGGCGTCCCATCTCAGAGTAAAAGCCTCCTTTACACTCCTCCCTGCTTAATTTTTCTCATATCAGTTTCTAATATGCCATATATTTTACCTGCTTATTGTCTTACTCCTAGGATGTAAACTCTATGGGGGCAGAGATTTCTGTTGTTTTGTTTACTGCAGTGTCTTCTGAGCCAAGAACAAAGCCTGGTATATGGAAGTCATTCAATAAACTATTTGTTGAATAAATGAATGAATCCATAAGGTAACCCAAATAAATATGCAATAATTAGGGAATGTAAATCTCTAATGTCTATTAACCTATTTCATGCTAGCCTACAAGTAAACCGAAGACCTATTTCATGTGGATACGGCGGTGGGCGCCCAGACGGTTTGCCTAGTACTCTTTAAAACGGAATAAAACCTTTTCAGGGCAGTTCTCTTTACTCTCGGCATCAAAACAAAGGATGGAGGTAAGAACTTCAGTCATTTCTACAAAGTGATAAAGGACAGAAGCGGAAAGGTGAAAGGGTAGGGGAAGGTAAAGACAAGTAAGAGTTAGTCCTGCCTTTGTGCTCCCAGCCTTTCTCGTCCAGGCTAGGATCCGAGTCACCGTTCGTCCCTACTCCTGTGTGGTAAGAGGGGAAGATACCTATGCTGGCAAATCAAATCTGAGTTACCCGAAGCGGGGGATGTCCTCCAGTCTCGCTTTTCACTTTTTCCACCTTCAGCACCCGAATTCGCAGGAACCAAGCTAAGGTGTTTCTATGGCAACGCGCAGCTTTGGTGGACCTTTGCGTCTCCTCTTTTAGCTGGCTACCACTTTGCCTTTTTCTGTTAAAAAAAAAATACATGTTGTAGCT